CAGTCTTTCACCATCAACTATGATGTTAGCTGTGGGCTTTTCATAGATGCCTTTATCAGAAATGCCCCTCTATTCCAATTTTGTTGAGTGCTCTGTGTTGGATTTTGTCAAGCGCTTTTTCTGAATATATTGAGATGATTATGTGGTAATTGTTTTTTATTTTATTGATATGATAAATATATCATGTTTAATATATTAGTTGGTTTTTGGATGTTGAACCAACCCACTTCACCTTGGTATATAATTCTTTTTATATGCTGCTTGATTTGGTTTGCTAGTATTTTTCTGTTCACATTCATAAAAGATACTGATATGTAGTTTTCTTTTCTTTTGGTGTCTTTGTCTTGTTTTGGTATCAGGATCAGGGTAATACTGGCCTCATAGATTGAGTTTGGAAGTGTTCCCTCATCTTCTATTTTTTGGAAGAGTTTGTGACGAATTGCTGTTAATTCTCCTTTAAATGTTTGGTAGAATTCACCAGGAAGCCCTTTGATCTTGGGCTTTTATTGGAAGGCAAATTTTTTGATTACTAAATCAATCTCTTTACTTGTTACAAGTCTATTCAGTTTTTTTTTATTTCTTCTTGAGTCAGTTTTGGTAGTTTGAATCTTTCTAAGAATTTTTCCATTTCATCTAGTTTATCTAACTTGTTGGCAGACAATTATATATAGTTTCTCTTATAATCCTTTTTATTTCTTTATGGTTAGTAGTAATATCTCCTGTTTCATTGTGGATTTTTATAATTTGAGTCTTCTCTTCTTTTTGTTGGTCAGTCTAGCTAGAGATTTGACAGTTTTGTTTATCTTTCCAAGAACTAATGCTTGGTTTTGTTAATTTTATTGTTTTCCCACTCTCTATTTCATTTACTTACACTTTAATATTATTTTCTTCCTTCTGCTTGTTTTGGGCTTAGTTTGCACTTCTTCTTCTAGTTTCTTAAGGTAGAAGTCAGGTTATTGATTTGAGATCTTCATTTACTGTTTAGGTGGTTACAGCTATAAATTTCCCTCTATGCACTTTTTTTTTTTTTTTGCTTGATCACATAAGTTTTGATATGTTGTTTTTGTTTTCATTTATTTCAAAGTATTTTCTAATTTCCCATGTGATCTCTTTTTGACCCATTATTTATTTAGAAATGTGTTGTTTAATTTCTATGTATTTTAAAATTCCCCCAATTTCCTTCTGGTAGTGATTCCACTTTGATTCTATTTTTGTTGAAAAAATGCTTAGTATGATTTCAATACTTGAAATTTTTTTCCTCCATTTTATTTGTGAAGCATCCCACCCACCAATACTTTAAATTTTTGAGACTTGTTTTATAGCTTAATATATGGTCTATCCTGGAGATGTGAGCTGGAGAAGAGTTTGTATTCTGCTGTTGTTGGGTGAAGTGTTCTGTATATGTCTGTTAGGTCTAGTTGGTTGATAGTGTTGTTCACTCTTCTATTTCTGAATCTTCGGTGTAGTTGTTCTATCCATTATTAAAAGTGGTGTATTAGTGTCCCCAACTATTATTGTTTACTTGTTCATTTCTCCCATTCGTTTTGTCAGATTTTGCTTCGTGTATTTTTGGGTTTGCTGTGAGACGCATATTTCTTTATAATTGCTATATCTTCTTGATGGATTGCTCTTGTATTGTTATAAACTGTCTTTCTGCATCTCTGGTAACAATTTTTGTCTTAAAGTCTATTTTGTCTGATATTAGTATTGCCACTGCAACTGTCTTTTGGTTATTGTTTGCATGAAATGTCTTTTTACATGCTTTTACTTTCATTCTATTTATGTCTCTAAATCTGAAGTGTGCATCTCATAGAAAGCATGTAGTCAGATCATTTTTAATACATTCTGCCTATCTTTGTCTTTTAATTGGAGTGTTTAATGTATTTACATATAATGCAGTTTCTAATGTTAGAATTTTTCCATGCAGTTTTGCTATTTTTTCTTATACCATTTTTGTCCCTTTCTTTCTCCATTACTACCTTCTTTGGTGTTAAATATTTTTCAAGTGTACCATTTGAGTTTCCTTGTTTATTTTGCTATTTTTATAAATAATTTTTTTCATGGTTCCCCTGTGGGTTACAATTAACATCTTTATTTATAACAATTTGGTTTAGATTAATATCAACTTAATTTCAATAGTACACAAAAACTTTGCTCCTATGTAGCTCCATTTCTCCACTTTCCATTGTGCTGCTATTGTCATACAAATTATATCTTTATATATTGTGTTCCCATCAACACAGATTTATAATTATTGTTTGTTTTAGTTGTCTTTTAAATTAAAGGGTAGGAATGAAAGAATTATAGACAAAAGTACATTGATGCTGTCTCTTATATTTACCTATGTAGTTAATTTTACCATTATTTTCCATTTCTTCATGTTGATATGAGTTACCATTTCATGTCCTTTCATTTCAGCCTGAATTACTTGTAGTATTTCTTGCAGGGCAGATTTGTTAGTAATGGATTTTCTTCATTTTTATTTATCTGGGAATATTTTAATTTAAGCTTCATTTTTGAAGGGTAATTTTATTGGATGTAGTGTTCTTGGTAGACAGTCTTTCAAGAATATGTCATTCCACTGCCTTTTGACCTGCTTTGTTCCTAATAAAATATCAGCTGTCAATATATTAAGGATCCCTTGTATGTGATGTTTTCAAGAGTTTCTCATTTTCTTTGGATTAAACAGTTTGATTATGATGTGTGAATCTACTTGAGTTCATTTTGAGGTTTTTTTAAAGCTTATTGGATGTATAGATTAATGTTTTTCATCAAATTTGAGAAGTTTTCTGCCATTATTTCTTCAAATGTTTTTTCTACCCTTTTCAGTCTCTCCTGTCTTTCAAGGACTTCCTTATGTGTATGTTGATGTGCTTAATGGTGTCCTATGGGACTCTGAGGCTCTGTTCATTTTTCTTAATTCTTGTTTTCTTTCTGTTCCTCAACCAGAACAATCTCAGTTGACTTATCTTTGAGTTCTGTCATTCTTTCATCTGCCTCTTCAAACCTGCTATTAATCCCAAGCAAAAATTTTATTTCAGTTTTTAGAATTTTCAACTCTAAAATTTCTATTTGGTTCTTCTTTTATTATTTCTATGCCTATATTGATATTCCATATCTGGCAAGGCATTGTTCTCATGTTTAGTTTTTTATGTATGGTTTATTTTAGTTCTTTGAACATATTTTAGGAAATTAATTTAGAGTCTTTGTTTAGTTAATTCAAAATCTGATTTTCCTTGGGGACAGTTTCTGTTGAGTGCTTTTTTCCTGTGTAAAATCCATACTTTTTTCTTGGCATGTCCCACAATTTTTTGCTGTATCCAGAAATTTTAAGTAATATTATGTGGCAACTCTGGAAATCAGATTTTTTCGCTCCTCAGTACTTGTTATTGTTGCTGTTTGTTGTGGTTATTTGTTTCAGTAACTTTTCTAAACTAATTCTGTAAAGTCTGTATTCCTTGTTGTATGTGTCCATTGATGACTCTGCTTGGTTCACTTATTAGTCAGCTAATGATTGGAAAGATATTTCCTTATATGCCTGAAACCACTAAGTCACCCAGTCTTTGCCAAGGGGCTTTGTGTGTGTGTGTGTGTTGAGGCATTTCTTCAGCACTCAGCCAGGCAGTTGACAACTCTGCCTTAGCCTTCATTTTCTGCATATGCAGAGCTTTAAGGTCAGCCAGAGGTGAGAGCTTAGGGCCTTCTCACATGTATACCAAGCAGACATGCAGCCCTGGGAATGCACACATTTGTACACATGCATGTGGCTTTCTAGATTCTCAGAAATATGTTGGTGCTTATTAAAGTTCCTATGGACATCTCACTTCCCATCTTTTCCTTTTACACTTTTTATTAGCCTACTTTTTGACCTAAATGTTTTCCACTACCTTGATGAGCCAAAATGTTAGATAAATGCCTCTAATTCTTTTTGACAATGCCCCTGAGGAAGAGACTTTTTGCCCCAGGCAAGCTCTGAATGAGTTCAAATAAAGACAGTCTTGAGAGTTGGATCTTTCAAGGAACAATGAAACAGGTCAAATAGTGATGGTTTTGGGGGAATGGGGCTTTGAAGGAGACTCAGTGTTGTTGTTTTCCTTCTGGTGGCTGCCAGGCTGCTGGTTTTCACTGGAACTGTGGGCTCTTGGTTTTCGAAGCTACCACTGAGATAGAAATAGAGCATTTTAAAATTCCACAAAGATACTATTCTTACACCTGTTTGTTCGTTTTTAAATGAACACTTCCTGGGTTGTACAAGCTTCTGGTTTAATTCCAGAGTTCTGAAAAAGTTTCTGATAAAGAGTTTTTGTTTATTGGTTTTCTGTTTTGCTGGCTTTCTTGTTGCTTTTATGGAAGAGAGAATTTTCAGAAGTTCTTACTTTGCCATTTTCCCTGATGTCACTAAATCTCCACTTTTTAGTTGATTTTTAAAAAATTTTATGACTTACTGAAATGTGTACCTGTGCCTTGATGATCTGATTATATTTCATCATAAGATATTTCTTTCTTAATTAAAAAATGTACTTTTATAAAAGGACCTGTTTCAAATATGACTGATGTTTCCCAATGGGTAGAACCTTGAATAAGGCAGGGATATTTGGCCAAACCACTTATCTGCTGTTCATATGTGTCTAAGGCCCACGTGACTGAGGGGCAGTGACTAAAATCTCTTTTCTTGATAACAGGTACTAACATTAGATTTGTTGCTTTTTTTTTTTTCCTTTTTGTCTTTTTTACTGACCGGTAACGGAATCGCAACCCTCGGTGTCGCGCCCGTACCGGGGACCGGCAACGGGATCGCAACCCTCGGTGTTGCGCCCGCACCACACTCAGCCAGTGAGCGGGAACTGGTCTCCACATGGGATCTGAACCCTCGGCGGGAGCGCCGCCACGCCCCCAAGTGGCGTACTCTCCAGTGCACCACCGGGCCGGCCCAAGATTTGTTGCTTTTTGACTGCAAACTCAGCTCTTGGCTAAAACCCTTGAAAATCTTCTTTTAACAGAATGCAGAGTCTGGATGAGCCATGGACAGAAGAGGAGGGAGAAGGCTCCGACCACCCGTACTACAACAGCGTCGTAAGCAAGATGCCTCCTCCAGGAGGGTTCCATGACGCTCGACTGAAAACCAGACCCCAAGCTCCTGACACAGCCCAGGTAAGTCTTATGCTTTTTTCCTTGGATGAACACTAACTGGACTTGATTTCTTTTTGTTTTCTTCAACTTTATTTCAGGCTGATGTTCTGTTCGCTTTTTAACACAATAACTTACAAACTTTCTCTCATTGGGTTTCACAAAGCATACAAATCGGGGAAGCTTAACAGCATAACGCCTTAGCCAACTATGTTGTGATTCCTGAGATACGAGTCTGGGGGTGTCCTGTCTCTCCAGGACAAATCCCATCATACTGTGATCTTAATGAGGGGAAGAGAGAGTTCAAGACTTTGAAAAGCCCTGGGGTGTTTAGGGTTCTCTATAAAGGACAGTGAATATAGGCTCTTAATATGGTGAGAATTTTATGAGTTTTTGTATTTTATTCATTCCCTTGATTTTCACTCCAACTCAAAATTCTCGTAAGGCAGTTGCTTTCTAGAGTTATGATATCTCTATTTTGTTGTAAGAAATTGTTTAACATCACCTGCCTTGTGTGAATGATAGTAACACCAACTAAAAATGGCAAAATAACATTGAAATCAAGGCTCTGACTCTGAGAGGGAATTTCCTGGTTTTCACGGAGTGGATGAAAGCAAGGAGGGGCGTGTGTAGTTCTGATAGAGATGCCACCTTTTCCTCACACCCACGCAGGCTTATTTCCCAAGTCTTCATGCCAACCATGAGGCATGAAGGGAAAATCGGGTGGAATAGAGGAAGCAGTTGACCCAAAATGAGGGTCCTGCTACTGTGCCATGGCTCTCAAAGATGGGTAAATGGGAGGAGGGCAATTCTCTCTTTGTTTGTATTTACACTTGTCTGTAGTTTGCAGGAAAAGAGCAAACGTATTACCAGGGAAGACACTTAGGAGACACGTTTGCTGAAGACTGGCAGCCAACAGCTGTCAGGCAAGGTGAGGAGGATGAGAAATATAAAAAATACTTTAAAAAGTAATGTGCTCACCAGTGGGTCATCCATTTCCGTGGTGTGGCAGACTGACCCCCTGGAAGTGTTTGCTGTGGGTAGATCACAGAAAGAGAAATAACAGTGCTGCAGGTGTCCACTGGCACAAATCAGATGACACCTCCCGCAGCATAGGTCCCGCTGATACTCTTTCAGAACCTACTGTCCTCATGCACGCTGGAGACTGTCCACCCGAAGGCTTCCTCTGGTGGGAGAGCTGACTTGCCCAAGGGTGCTGAGGAATTGCCATCCCAGGGGCACCTTCACCAGTTTCAAATGGGAGTTGGTGAGGCAGCTCCAAGTGTGTTTCATATGTTCCCCAGCAAAGTGGAGCACCAGTGGCTCCTACAGCAGCTTTCCCTCTTTTCCTTATTTCTCTTCCCATCTCTGTCCTCTCAGGGTCAGCTTCAGGAGGGACATAGAGACACCTACCTGGGGGTTGATGGCAGAGGTGGCACCAGGGATATAAGTCTCTCCTGGGCTCTGGTACTTCTAGAGGACACTTCAACGTCCTGTCAAACCTAATAGCATGCACCTGTATCACATTAAGAATAATTTAGATATATCTAAATTATAACTATCTAACAGATATAACTATGTATCTACAATTTAGATGTTTAAAAATAATTTAGAAACATCTAGATAAAACTATAATAATTTAGATATAACTATCTAAGAGCTAACTGTTCACATAAGTCTTTATTCCCTAGACAGTTATTTATATGTATACGTATTTGAGTATGTAAGTATGTATTCATATCTCTATCCATCTAATCTGTCTATCCTTTAAAGATTCCTTTTAATTTTAACCTTTTTCCCTTCTCAAAAATTTTCATAACTCTTTCAATAGCTCTGGGGTCCTGGCTACTAAGTCCACAGGGTCCAAAGGACATAAATCCAATTGATGCTTCTATGTATGTAAACATAACCATTTATGGTTTAACGTTAAGTCTTGTCCCTTTGTTATAGCCAGTTGTGCCAGGGAGCAAATGCAATACATTTTAAAATTTTCTCCCATGTGAGAGAATTTCATGTCTTGGCCTGTCCCAGCTGAAAGACCCACGTGGCTGGCCCAGTCCATAAAACATAAGGCCTGGCAGAAGCCATCAAATAGTTCTGACTAAGAATAGGATAGAAATAGCAAATCAAAGTCATAACTTTGCTAGAGGTTCTTTTTCACTACGGGCTATTCATCTTTCTTCTATATACATTTAAAATATTTTTATGTAACATTTGTATGCCACAGACATATAATAACTGCTAAAGATCTAAGGAGACATTATTCCCATTAACTATTTCCTTTACTGTAAAATATATCAGATTTATTGTAAAATAAGTCTTTTTTTGTATATTCAGGTGATTCTAGCCAGATTGAGAACAGATAACATAGTAAACTCCCTAGGGCAAAATAAGCTTTTTTCAAGTTCCTGGCCCAAAACTTGAGACTTCATAACTCTTCATAATTTCAGTCTCTTATTTGAAAGCAATAAATACCTTTTTCCATAGAATGAATAAAAATGTTACTTATTAATTTGCTGTAGTTATTCCTCTTAAATGACTCTAGGTGCCACCAGGTGTGTCCACATGTGTCGGGTGCAGCACGTGGTGTCATCCATAGTTGAAAAGGACTGTCAGGAGGGTTATTTATTGGGTTTTTGATTTTTTCCTTTTTAAAATTAGTTTGTGAAATTCTTTTCTAAAGACTGATTTGTTTGCAATATAAACAGATGTGTCAACTGCAGATAGCTGTCCCTAACTAAGGACACATAATCCAGGAACAGCTTCTTAAACATAGAAATTGTGTTTAGGAATAGGCGAGTAGAAACACAGTTCATGATGGTGCCGGTGACGCTCCCCTGCGAAGCCATGTTGGCAGGACACTTCATTCCTTCATGAGCGGTCTGGGAGACCAGTGGAGGGCTGGCAAGTGCTCAAACAGTGAGCTATTGGGAAAGCTTTCTACAAAGCCCCAAACTGGCTCCTTGCAGCTGCATTGAGCCAGCTTCAACACACCACCACCCAAAGGATATGAAAAATGCCCTCCTTCTAGAAATGTGACTGTCATGGGGCGTCCTTGAGATTATGTTTACATAAGCAGGTTGCAGTCAGGGCACACACAGAAAGATGCTGAGAGTGATTCCAGGGCGTGTTCTTGCAAAACACCTTTCACTCCACCTCTGGGTGACAGGACAGTCCCCTGGCTCAGCCTCAGCACACCCTTAGGCTGGCTGGGAAGTCCCATCATGGAAGCATCACTACCTCAGAGCAGGGGGCTTCTCAGTCACATGCCCATCCTGGGCTCCCTCCCTAACTCAGGGTCAGCAGCAGTGGCTTGATTTTGTAAGGAAGGCATCTCAGTTTGTTGGGAGGTACCTTCCTAAATACACAGCCTGTACTGTATTGCTAGTGTGGAGTTAATTTACCAAGCATTCACTTACACTTTTAAAAAAAGCAATTAAAATAAAGCTTGTGACTCTTCTGCTCAGTTATCCGATCTGGGAGCCTTTGTAAAGGAGTGGAGGAGACGGGGCATCTTCTGTCTGCTCGGCTTTCATGGTCCTGGCCAGCGAGACCCAGAATTTTTGGTGAGGCCCCTAACCATCAAGGTGCTCCCCACCTCCATGACGTTGCCTGGCAGATCCCATTCTGACATGACGGACTGCAAACTGTCCTGGCCAGGACACAGCAGGGTGTTGTGACAGGCTCAGAAAAGGAAGACTTTTCTTATTGGTAGGTTTGAGGAGCTTCTCTATAAAACACTAGAGAGGCATGAATGGCTTTACCATCATAAGAGAAACAGGAGCTCAATTTCTCATTACAGGGTCATTGGACATCTACAGCATGCCAGAAGGGAAACTGCACATAGAACCCACAGGAGAAGCACCCACCTATGTCAACACCCAGCACATCCCACCGCAGGCATGGCCGGCTGCCGCCATCAGCAGCACAGAGAGCAGCCCACGGAAAGACCTCTTTGACATGAGTGGGTTTCTGTCTGTCTCTGGTTTTCTTCTCTTTTGAGGTTGCATTTTACACTGGCTTTTATTTGAAATCTGTGCAATTACTGAATTTTCTGCTGTTTGATTAATGGTGGTGATTAGCTGCACTTTTCTGGGTTGTGATTGGGCTTGTTTAAGGCTTTGGGATTACAGCCCTCTCTGCAGTCAAGAGGCCAAGCAATTTCCTTCTTTTTTTTTGGAATTGACTTTTCTCTTGAAGATCTGCAGATGAATCAAGACAAAACATATTCGTAAATAAAGGTGTTCATTTATTTATTCATTTAAACATTAATTGGCTGTTATGTACCAACTACTGTATTAGTTGCTAAGGACACAAAGATGAAATGCCATGGCCTGTCTGCACGGAGCTCTCAGTCTGTGAAGCGAGGCCACCGTGTCAGCAAGAGCTTGCAATGCACCTCGCTCTTATGTGCCTTCTCTTTCTCTCTCTTCCTCTCTCTCTCTTTCATTTTTTCTCCTATTCTCTCTCTCTTTCTCTCCTCCTATCCCTCTCCAAATACTTATTGAGCACCTACCATGTGTCAAATAATATCCTACTTACTGGAGATATACAGGAAAACAAAACACGTGAAGTCTCTGCTCTCGTGGGGCTTAAATAAACAGCTAACTACGTATTACCAGGTAGTTATAAGTGCTCATAAGTGGTGAAAAATAAAACAGGGTAAGGAGAGTGACAGGAATCTGTTGTAGATAGCACTATAGTGGGACGTGTACCATGGATTGTCTGTTTGTCATATAGATTGGAAAAACTAAGTCACTCATGAAGTGGTTAGAGTGGAAATTTTTAAAGCATTTTGAAAGAACTTCCCAAGCTCACAAAGAGCTTTGTATTATAAAATTTTCTATTTGGATTCCTTGAGAATTTTACAGGCTGAAGAGGGAGAGAAAGGCGACTAGCACTGAATA